GAGGGAGCAGTGGCAGCCTGCTCGTGCAATAGAGCCGTTTTCTACCCAGGAAGGCGGGCTTCACAAGCCAAGTCCCAGGAGCAACCCCCTGTGGTAGGTGAATCTACTTTGTGCCAGGAATTAGGGGATTAAGGGACTCCAGCCTGAACTCAGGCCCAGCCCAGGGCTGATCTAGAAAGGACCAGAGTAGGTACAGCAGGGCCGTCCGTCCTATGGCCATAGGTGACCCCACTCTCCCTGTAGGGGCTCCTGCTGACTGGGCAGGCCTGACAGGCACCAGCAAGCCCTCTCAAGGCCATTGGAGAAAATGGGGGTGGCAGAGGGTGCGAGGTCTGGTCCTTTCCTGCAGCCTGCTGCCCACATCCTGACCTGCAGAGTAGGGGGATGTGTTATCCCACTGTCTGAGGAGGCCTCCATGGATAGTTGGGCCAGGCTGGTTCTGGGGAGGAGGTGTCCGGAAGGCAAAGAGGCTTCCACATCCACTGACAGCCCTCAGGCTCTGCAAAGGATGAGTCAAACTGAGGAGATGAGGGGCAGGGCTGTGCTGGGTAGGCACAGCCCAGGGATGGGGACCTCTACTCCAGCAATGCCTCTTGGCACTCAGGTTGCGTGCACGAGCTGAGTGGCCCCAAGTCTTTAGAGGCATGTGATCAAACCAAGTCAGCTTGGGGCCAGCACAGCTGCCCAAACCTTGGCAGGTGACAAGCCCACCTAGACTCTATCCTGTGGACAGCAGGGGAGTCTGACCTGCAGCAGGTCACAGCCGGTGGGCCTGCTGCTCAGGATGGCTCACATGGAGGTGGGTGCCCCCTTCTGGGAGCACTGTCAATGGTAACACACCAGGTGTGAAAGCCCCTGCTTTTGGGGAAGAGGTCAGTGACTAAGCCCCCCTGCTCAGGTATCCTTGACTTTCACTGTCCCCAGGTGGGGTAGGTGTCATAGCCCAATTTGCATATGAAGAATCAGGGAAGGAACCCTCTGCCTCTGCCCTAATACCCCACCCACCCTACCCCCAGATTCACTTGAACAGGGAGGAAAGCTCCTGGTCGCTGACTTCTTCCCAGGCCTCCACAGCTTCCTGTCTCACTGGCGCTTTATGCTTCTCCAGGACTCTGTGGGGTGGTGGGGGCGGAAGGACGAAGGCTGCCTCCCCGAGGCCTGGGACGAGACCCCCCTGCGGTCTTTACAGGTGTCCATGGATGGGACTTTGCTTCCCAGAGGATGGACAGCACAGGCGGCTGGCTACCCTGTCCCGGCCCCCCTGGTCGCACTCCTCACCAGCTTCCGTGACCTGCCCATGGCGCTTCCATCCTGAAGTCAGCCGGAAGCCCTCTCTTAATCCCGAGCCCTTCCCAGCCCATTAGTCTGCCAGGCCTGCAAGGGTCTTTCCTCACCCTGGGCCGGGGCCCCCCTAATCTGTTGCTGCTCCCGGCTGGGAGATCCCCGCTGAGCTTTCTTCGACAACCACCCACGCACATTTAAGTCCTCAACCAATCCCACCTTAACCTTTCCTCTGTGCCCTGGTGCACTGGCCCACACCACGCCTTGGGTCTTGAGGTACTGGGACAGGGTGTGGGGAACCTGAGATCGGCCCCGCCCTCCTTTGGGGTTCCCGGTCCCGCTCTGCCTCTCCGTCAGGCCTCACCTTCCTCTCGCAGGCCCCGCCCCTGGTCCCGCCTCCCTTCCAAAAGCCCCCGCCCCACGCCGGTACCGAGGCTCTTCCTTATTGGTGTGCTCACAGTCCGTGCCTTCCCATTGGCTCGCGGCCTGTTCTCCTCGCTCTCAACCTCAGTGCGGGAACATTGGCTTCCCCACGGTCCCCCGCCGCATCGGTCCTGCCTGGTGGCCCCCGGTCCATTGTGGTCACCTCACTCCCGCCACCACTTGCCAGCCGACGGCTTGGAGCCGGGACGTGGACATAGGCAGCTGCATCCAACACGACCCTTCACTCCGCATTGGGTACTGCGCTCAGCCTTTTCGGACCTACTGGCAGCCTGAGCCTTCAATCTTCTCCTCTACCAATCGGTTTGCCAGCCCGGGCCGGCCCGCTAGTTCTTGGCTTTGTATTGGAGAAGAGCAAGGCCAGAAAGCGAGCAGGGACACGTGGATCCACGTGCAGAGCCTCTGGGTTCGCTGCCGGGGAGACGGAGACGGAGTGGGGAGGGAGAGAGGAGGCATGGCACAGCACCTAGGGCTCACCTCTACGCTACAGGGACAGGGTCCTCTCCTTCGTTCGCCATCCCGTGCGACCAGTACTGAGGAAGGCCAGCTCTGCCTGGCCCGGGCCGCCCAATGAACTGACTAACGTTCTGGGAGACTGAATAGGAGACAGGGTGGGTCCTGACTCACCGAGGTTGGGCCATGTGGTCACGCGCAGGGGTGGCGGGGGAGGGGGGAGGGTTCTCTCCCATCCTGTCAGGGTGGCCCCTTTGGCAGGCTACTCAAAGACACTTGCTTGGTAGCCCCAGACTGCCAGGTAGAGATGCCAGGCTGGCATCAGCCCCAGATGGCCCATTGGCAGCAAGAGTGTGTCACCTGGGCGTTGTTGGTGGAGGTGGTGGATCAGGGGCGAGTCTGGCGGGAAAGCTTTGGTTGAAGAGAGGCTGCTGACTTCAGGCCGAGCCTCTTGGTTTTTTTGCTTCCAGAGAAGGGCTCTTCTCAGCCCTGCTCATCTCAGGGCAGTGAATGGCTAATGGGCTCTGCTGCTACAGGTGTTTCTTGGGTAAACCAGGCCTGATTCCCCAGTAAACGCTCAAACCCCGAGATCCAGGACGCTCACACTCCATGCCCTGTGTGCAAGATGTATGTCAAGCTAAGGTGGGACGCGGACTTGCCCGCTCGCAGGTCGCACCTTGCAGTTGTTATAATGGATTAGTTGCTTTGTTTAACGTGACGGGGGTGTTAGCAAGGGCTGTGCAATGACACAGAAGCCTCTGGGTCCCCGCGATCCGGCACGCCAGGTTCCCCAAGCCCTGACTAAACTGGCCCAGGTAGGAAATGGTGGAGGCTCTGCCGGTCTGCGGACTTGGGCCGAAGGGAGGCCAGGTGAAAGAGGCGTGCTAGGGCGCGGCCATCCCGGGTGCGGCACTGTCACTCTACCTGCGCCAGGCCCTGGGAGTCAGCCGACAGGGTGGGCGTCCCTGGGACACGAGGCCTGGGGCCTATCTCCCGCTGCAACCTCTGGCCTGGCGCTTGTCTAAATAACCTAAGCCGAGGAAAAGCGGGTGTCTGCGGTGGTGACGACAGCCATGCTCTGCGTGGTGCGCACTCGGAAACCAACGCGCTGGGTGGTAGGCGAGGCGAGTCCCCGTGGACCCGACGGTAACACACGACGCGTTTCATAACTGACCTCCATTCCCACCCTCCGCGCCAGTGTTTATAGAGTGGGACGTGAGGCAGGCAAGCGGTCGGGGGCAGGGGACCCGCAGCTACCAGGAGGCCCGCGCGTCCGCGGAGACGCCGAGGCGGCTCCAG